AAAAAAAAAAAAAGCAAACTCACAGCGGATTATATATATATATATATATATATATATATATATATATATATATATAGATGTATAGAACCAGAACAAACATTATCCCACAAATATAATCTCACACTTCCCAGACACATTGCTATCTTTACAATTTATATTACCATTGTGCTCTTTAACAAGATTCTGTATGGAATTAAGCATATACGGTGCTACTAACCTGAGTTGCCTTTCCATTAAGAGATGTACAGTATCCTCTAAATGTAGTGATCGAAGCCCATACACCCATTGTGATTCTTTACTATATGTTTCTGTAGTATTTATGGTTGTATTTGATGTCATCATTATCCCTACGTCACTTTCTTTCCCTCCTATTCCTCCTCTTCCAGATGAATCCCCATCCATATTTCCAATACTATTACTATTATTATTAGTATTACTATTATTACTATTATTAGTATAAGTATTGTGTGCAATCCATCGTGTTTGGGTAAAGCAGTTTGCGGTATGTTGACGGTGTCGCAGCATCATACAATATGGACGACGTTCGGCCTCTTGAAGGGCCCGTTGAACTTCACATCCCACACCACTTAAAGAGAGCGTCTCTAATGTATTCCATGGAAGTAACTTTATCTCACCTGTAGAGGAGGTATCTAACACACCTGGATTATGAGGATTGGCAAGGAAACGAAAGATTTCTTGATTATTCTTTCCAGATGGATCTATTTGTTGTTGTTGTTGTTGTTGTTGTCGTTGCTGAAAAGAAGAAGGAGGAAAGCCTTTTAATTCTAATACCAAACATGTTTCCCGTGCATTGTGTAAAACGGCTTCTACAAGTATTAAAAATAAGGCATTCACTTGTGGAGGTGTAAGAAAAACCATAGAACCATAATGATGAGCATAATTATGACTTCTATACATTTCTCTTCTTAATGCAATTTGCTGCAGGACATCCTCTTGTTCATGTTTTCTCTTCTCATCCATTACTTTCTTTTTCCGTAGTTTCTTTAAAAGATGAATGATAAGTTGCCATTCTCGTCTTGTTTCTCTTTGTTGTTCCATTTTCACTACTTCCAGACCTTGACCAAATAAACCTCCACATTGTATTTTCACTTGACTTAAATGCCGCATAGCTTGTGGATAATAAAATAATCCCGCAAGAACGCCAAGTTGTGGAATAGATGGGAGTTGCATGGGATATGTAATCATTAAACCCCGTAAAGCACATCGTGGATGTGTGAGAACGGCAGCTACACACGGTAACCAATCAGGATTATCAAATCGTCCACATCTTTCTGGTAATTCAAATGGTTCCTCTATGGCTGTTTGTACATATGTACAGAGTGGTTCTAACATTCCAAGAATGGAATTTGGTAGAAATGCCCGTTGTAAGTGATGTAAAATACCACTAAGATGTAATAATTCATCATCGGCATCTCGACGGGCATTTCGTATATCTTGCAGTTCATTCTCTAATGCACGTACTTCCAACATGGTTCGCTCCCACACCATCACTTCATCTACGGAATGTGGAAAGGATATACCTATAGTCGCTGGAGAGACTGTGGTTGCCGTTGCCGTGGTATGGGAAGTTGCCGTAGCGAGAGGCGATGATGGAAGATTATCATTTATATTATCACCATTCTTATTACTATTATCATTATTATCATTATTATTATTGTTATTCTTCTTTATTGGTTTATTCTTTTTTCCATTGAGTTTTTCAGATATACTTATCGGTAGATTCAACTGTAGTAGTGAACCCATACTATCATCACCATCACCACCTTTTACGCCTTTTCCTTTTTTACTTCTCATCCTATCCACACTATCATCTTCCATTCGTCCTGTTGAGAGATCCCCATTCTTTCGACGTTGACGTCTTTCTCGTTGTTGTTGTGAATCCATTCCTTTCATTCCATTTCCTGTTCCCTCAAACAATTCCGAGTCGGATGAGTTTGTCATCAGGGAACTACGCCAATCCGGATTAGATGCGGGCCATTCCCACTCCGCTGAACGTGTAAATGCCCGGCCTGTGTGGAGTACACGCGGAACAGGACTCCCATACGCTAATGTACTCGTCTCTGCTGAACTTAACAGACTTCCACAGAAACTAGAAGAGGCTTTTCCCGCTAATCGTAAAGACCGCCGTTGACGGCCATATTCTCCCGGTGTGGCTAATGCCATTACAATATCAGATACAGAAGCACCAAGACCAGGACTCGTCTCATCTCTTGCCATTAAAGATGTATATCGATTATTTTCACCTTGAGGCCACAAGTCTGTATCGAATACTACTTCTTCTTCCTCTTCTTCTTCTTCTTCATCATCTTCATCATCATCAGAAGCCGTAGGATCTAGGAGATGATCTGCTCTGGAGATTAACCGCAATGCAGGGATAATACCAGGAAACCTCTGTACATGGACAGCAATGGGTGCACTAGATTGTAAATTAGATAACAAGTGTAGGGACCACAAGTGTACAACAGTGGCCATATGATTTAAATCAAGCCACGGAGTGATTGGTGTTCCACCTAAAGAATTATTACTTAATGTTTCCTGAACCGAGGATTCATTCCGTTGTTTAGATCCCACGGTATCTACTGAAGTAGCCGCAGCCACAGCTATATCCATCCCACCTACACAAGACACCACACGGTAGGAAACGGGTGGGAAAGGACACGTTGGTGTGTGAGGTTCAGTAGGAGAAAAGGTCGTACATGTACTAGAATTGATATTTCCATTATTCTTATTCCGTTCGCTGCTATTATTATGATTATTATGATTATGATTAGAGTTTCCAACATCACGGAAAACCTTTTTCATTCCTGAGACTAATGCCTTACTTGTTTTAGCTGTACTCCACTTCATTCCACATAATGCCCGTTCCAACTCTCGTGCCGCATCTAATGAAGAACACTCCACAACACAAACACCACCATACATGACACTTGTCACCACACCTTCTCCATACCGTTGACGAACAGATAGTTTAGAATCTCTATGGTTCACCGCCGTACGGTGATATCTCCTCTCCTTCCACTCAAATGGATTAATAGAGACATCAAAGCTACTAACAATAATACCAGACACCACAGTCTTGGGTTGTGCAAACTCTGTAGAGGCAACACATGAAGGTTTCAGATGTAATGAAGAGGTGAATAAAGGCAAAGATGAAGATGGATTCATCCCTGAAGCCGCAGGAGGATGAGAAAAAGAACCACCACCAGCAGCAGGAGTATTCGTTTTCGCAGTCGTAAGGGCTACACAAGAATCCAGCGGTTGCGATTTACGTCCAACCTCCACCACCTGTGTTTTATGTACATTTCCTGCTGAATGGATTTCACCTGTAGGGATAGCAGAAATAGAAGGTTTACGAGTTAATTGTGCATCAACGCCTCCAATATGACTATCAAAGTAATTCACCACATCTTGTGTAGATGCCACCCGTGAATTGATTGGAGATGATAAAAGTTCCTGTAAACCTTGCATTTCTTGTATACGATGAGTAGGAAGAACTAAACAGTGACAGAAAATACTACTTTCTGGGAACCGCAAGGATGATTCATCTACAAATCTTGTTGTTGTTGGTGGTGGTGATGTTGGTGTTGTTGTTTTTGTTAGTGTAGGTGCAGGAGAGGGTTGACTATGTGTTAATAGTAACGAACGTCCAGGTGAGGAGAAGAAACTCTCCGTGTGATGAGCCGTAGGGGATTCTACCGTAATATGATAGTTTGTAAGATTGCTAACCCCCGGGTATACACTACTACCATTATGACTATGATTATGATTATTACCAGAGCCAACATTGTGATTATGATTGGCATTAAAAGATGGGGACATGGATTTCTCATTTCGTGTGGCATTAAAGGAAGAACTTAATACGCCTGAAAAGGAGGAATTCACTGAAATAGGTTGAGCTCTTACAACGGCGAGAGCGACGGAATGAATATTTGGACAAAAATATTCCACTCGATCCCATCGGCGTACATCTACACCAAAGGCAACATCCATTCCTTGTTTTCGTAGAAATGATGTATTCTTCGCAACAGAGGTTTCTTCAGATACATGAAAAGCAAACACATCTTTTGCCCCAGCGGCAATTAAATCTTGTGTATACTGCTGTGTTGCTAATTCCATATCACTATTACATTTACTACTCGTTTCTCTATTAAGATTCGGTTCAGCCTGATTCGAAATAATAGAATCATTTTTTAATTTCTGACCATGATGATGATGATGATGATGATGTATACCACCATTACGACCATCTATACGTTTATGTTCATTATTATTATTATTATTATTATTATTATTATTATTATTATTATTATTATCATTACCACCTCCTCCTTTTCGTTTAGCGGCGGCTGCTGCGGCTAGTTGAGACATACTAATAAGAGATACCCAATGCGAACGAACATGTCGTGTTTGTTTACCCGCATGTGTTTGTCTATTTCGTCCTTCAAAGGAAACCACAGATGGGGCGGTAGCCATATCCGGAGAAGAGATCCCAACAGTGGGAGATCTTACTCCATTTACATTTATATTATTATTATTATTATTATTATTATTATTATTATTATTATTAGGCATTACTGCTGTGGCTACAGAAGCCGCGAAATTATTTTCAGCATGTGGAGAAATACGACCAAAACTACGATTCGTTAAAACTTCATGAAAGTTATTTGTTACAGTGTACATAAATGAAATAGATTGGTGTTCCGCACTACGTGAATCCCAACAACGACCCAATAATTCCGCATGAGAAACTGCAAAGTTTACTTTTGCCTTTATAGACGTTGATGTATTTTTTCCTTGTTTCTGTTCATTCATTGTATTTGCCTTTGCTGCGACGATTGTAGTGTATTCCTTTGCTGCTGCTGTGCCTGAAGGGGATTGACTTCTGTGTTCATGATAGTGCGTCTCTACACCGGCCTTTGTTATTGCTATTCCTTCTTCTTCTTCTTTTTCTTGTTGAGATTGTGGTTTTCTTGAATAATCTATAATAGATAGAGTGGGTTTATCCTTATTTACATCCTCTGCGTTTTCTTCTTCATTTCCACGTCTGGCTTCTACAGAGGTACGGCAACCCATTTTTGTGTGTTTTTACCTTTTTTCTTCTTCTTGTTACTATTTATTATTAATATTAATAGGGTTACTATGATTATTTGCTTTTTTTTTTTCTTTTAATGGTATCTGTCTAATTAACACAAGAACTCTCTCTATTAATACACACACGCACTCTCTCTCTCTCTTTTACTCACACACACACAAACAAACACAGAGAAAAGACTTCAGTTTCCCCCTTTTGTTTTCTTTTGTCTTTTTTGTTTATTACAATTCCTTCTTTTTTTTATTTGTTGATACAACTTATCTTTTCCCACCTTTTTTTTTTTTCGCTTCTAGCCACTGAAGATGCGTTTGTTTGTATGTCTGTCAACAAAGCTCAGTTGTGGCTAATTGAATATACGTGTGTGGGAATATATATATATATA